TTAGTACTTGAAATATCTCATTCCAGGCTCTCCTTGCCCCAAGGGTTTGTGTTGAAAAGACTGCTTTGATTCTGATGGGCTTTCCTTTGTATGTGATTTGTTTCTTTTCTCATACTGCTTGTAGTATTTTGTTTTTCTGTTGGGTTTCTGGGATCTTGATTATTATATGTCTAGGTGTAGATTTTTTTTGATTGTAGCTAGTTGGGGTCCTATATGCCTCAGTTATCTGAATGTCAAATTCTTCCCCTCTGATTGGGAAGTTTTCTGTCATTAATTCTGCGAACAGCTTTTTAAAGTCATTTGTATTTTCTCCTGCTACTTCATGTATTCCTATCAGTCTTATGTTATTCTTCTTTGCATCATCTAGGAGTAGCTGCATCGATTTCTCATGATCCCTTACTGTTTTTAAGAGACCTCTCTTTTCATGGTCACTGACTGCAATCTTATCTTCTGTATCTGAGAGTCTATCTTCGCATTCTTTTATTTTGTTGCATACACTTTCTATGGAGTGTTTAATCTCCTGGATATCTGTTTGAATCTGTTTTATGGATTCCATTTCTTTCCTATGTTGGGCATTTATTTTTTCCATTTCTTTCCTATACTGGGCCTTCATGGCTTCTATCATGGTCCTGAGCTCATCTACTTTTTTGTCAGTTTCTGCTCTAGAGCCTCAAATCACGACTTCCATTTTGCTCACTATCTCTGTGGTTATCTGGGAAATTATTTCTGATTTGAATTTTTCTAGAGCCTGATTGATCTGTTTTGTTACTTCCTGTGCTTTGAGTTCAGGGTGTCCTGGTGGTTCACTATTGGCCTTTTCATCCTCATTTGCCCTACTGTTTGTCATTGGTGAACTGCAAGTCTGTCCTTGTGTCTTGCTTAAGTGTTTTCTCATTTTTGTTTTTGTTGTTGGACTGTCCTTGATTTAATCTCTGGGTTATCACCCAAATCTTTCTGATAAATTTGCGCCCTAGCTTCTGTGTCTCTAAGGACCCACAGAAATTCTCATCTTCATCACATCAGAGAAACAGGTCATCAAATCATCTGCAATGCTTTATCTCAACTGATACAATCAGCAACATATTAAGATCAAGCACATCTTAGACACTGACCACCTGTGGTAGTCACTAGTCTATCACCCTTAAATCATTTGAATTAAATTGAAATCAAAAACAGTCCAGAACATGTATGCATTGAACAAAATTTCAATATAGTGTATTTACCATTTAATGGTTCAGACAGAGCGAGGATGCAAGTCCCCTGGTCTCAGTTAGCTGAGGGCTGAACCCCATGACGCTGACTGACCTCGGGCTGCAAGGCCCAGATTGAGTTCCCTAACCTTCTGAATGGTTGAACTTCACAACGTTCTATTACAGGTTTCCCACACCCTTTCTTTAAAGATGTTCAAAGTTGGGAACCTAGAAAAATACCCTTGATGACCACCTCTGCCTCTGCAGAGTGGGTCCTAAGACTGGCACAGTCAGGAGGTCTGAGAGTGAGGGTGGGGTGGGGACTTAAGGGGGTTCAGGGGCACTACCTTCCCGGTGCTTGAGCGATGGCAGCTGGGTCAGGAGCAGGCATGTCTCTCCTTCCCAAGGTGGATGGGGGCCCAGGCTACCTCCCGATGCTTGAGTGATGGCGGCTGGGTCAGGAGCAGGCGTGTCTCTCCTTCCTGGGGTGGATCTGGGCCCAGGCTACCTCCCGGCGCTTGAGCAATGGCTTATCATGAAGTATCTTATTTCTCCATCAATTTTGAAAGATAATTTTGTGGGGTACATCAATTTGAGTGGAGGCTGTTTTCTTTTAGGGCTTGAAATACTTCACTCCAAGCTCTCTTTGACTTAAAGGTTTGTCTTGAGAAGTCTGCTATTATTCTGATGGGTTTTTCTTCATAGGTGATGTGTTTCTTTTCTCTAACACCTTTTTTTTTTCCTCTCGGTATCCAGAATCAAACTCAGGACCTTGCTCCTGCAAGGCATGCATGGTGCCACTGAGCTAAATCCCCAGCCCTCTCTAACACCTTTTAATATTCTGTTCTTGTGTTGAATTTCTGAAATATTTACCATTATTTGCCTTGGTATAGTTTTTTACTGCTCATGGCTAATTGGAGTACCATATATCTTACTTATCTCTATGTCAAATCATTTTCCCATGCTTGGGAAATTTTCGGCTATTGCTTCTGTGAGCAGTTTTTTATGCCCTTTGTGCTAGCTTCTGATTTTTCACTGATTCTAATTAATCTTATTCTTTTTTGCAATTGTCTAGCAGCTGTTTGATATTTTTTGGTGTGTTCCCTTGTTATTTTTAAGAAGTCTTTCATTTGATAACTGCTAACCACAAGCAAGTCTTCTAGATTTGTTATTCTATTTCACGTTGGTTCATTCTTCTGTGCCTACTTTCAATAGAATTTTTAATCTACTAGGTATCTATTTGAATCTGTTTTATGGAATCCAGTTCTTTTCTATGTTGGGCATTCATAGTTTCCATCACTTTCCTAAGCTCCTCTATTTTTAAAAAATCTGTATGTACTCTAGATTCACTAACCATATCCTTTACTATGGTCATTATCTGTTTAATTATCTGCGTAATTATTTTTTTTCTAGAGACGTATTCATCTGCTTTGTTACTTCCATTGCTACTATTTCCAGAAGTTCAGCTTGGTGACTTTTGATTTCTTCCATCTCTATGCTCCCTGGGTTTGCCTTGGGCAAGCTGGAGGTCTGGGGTTGCATCTTGCCTCCATGGGTTCTCACTGTCTTTCTTTGCTTTTTCTTTGTTTTCTATGTTTACAGTTGTAAATCACTTCTGGTAGGTACCTTTATTACTAGTATAAAGACTGCTCTAGGCACGACAACTTGTGAGAGATGTCTTCTAGGGACAGCTGCCCTGTGTGTCTGTCCCAGGATCCTGCCTCTTCTGTTTATTAGGGATGAGAAGCTACAAGTCTGCTTGGCCCAGCACCCAGTTCTTTGGTACTGGACTAAGCTCCTGTATTCTCATTTCATTGTACCGTAACTCTTATATTTTTCGTTGGCTAGGTAATAAATTAGGACCAATGAAAAAATAAATTAAGACATTACACATTCAGAATAGTAATGATTAAATTTATCTTAATATGTGGAAAGGGACAACAGGTTAAGAATTATATATTTAAGTGTAAACAATATATTTTATTCATAGGTGACAAGAAAAATAAAATGCATGCAAGCAGATAACCAGTCCTTTTCTTTTATATTTGAATATATTTGAATAGAGTGTTTCTAAATATCATAAAGCTGCAGTTTATCCTTGGTGAAATTTTGGTTATGGCTTAAGAAATAAGTAAGGACAATTTAAAAGAGTTCAATAAACCTAAGTGTCATAAGAGTCTAGAAATACAGTAAGTGCTGTAAAAATTAAAAAATATAAGAGCCCGTTTTCAATACTGCTTTCAATTAAAGTCTCAATCAGTGGTTTTCAAACTTTAGAATGAAATAATTTAGAGAGCTTGTTAAAACATACACTGCTGGGCTCCATCCCCGAAATGTCTAGCTCAGTAAATATGGAATGAAATCTAAGAATCTGTATTTCTTTTTTTTTTATTCTGGTTCCAGGGATTGAACTCAGGATCATGCGCTTGCAAGGCAGATGCAGTACCACCGAGGTAAATCCCTGACCCAAGAATCTGTATTTTTAACAAGTTCCTAGGAAACCCTTCCACTGTTGGTCCAGAGAACACATTTTGAGAATCAATGGATTAGTTCATTGTCTTACATTCTAACTCTGTATCTTCAAATTCATGTCACTGTTTATTTTAGGAGCATATAGTATGAAATGGAAACCTACAGGAATGAGATATGAAAGAATCTGAGAGGACAACAATTATACAAATGAAAGGACTACTTTGCACCTCAGACATTCAGCAATCTCAGACACATACGTGGCTATAAACACAGAGATAATCAGGGGCTGGGGATTAGGTCAGTGGCGCCGAGCAAGCACAAGGTCCTGAGTTTTATCCCCAGCACACACACACCAAAAAAATGAAACACAGAGGTCATTGTACCTGTCTTGCAAGCGCAAGGTCCTGAGTTTGATTTCCAGTACACACACACAAAAAAAAAGCAGGCTGGGGATTTAGCTCAGTGGTTTGGCAAGGACCCAAGTTCAATCCCCGGTACAAAAAAAAAAGCCACAGAAGCAATCACTGAAAGTAAGAAGGAATAAAAACCATAAAATAGAGGTAAAAATATGCCATTACTTTGGATTTTTCCACCATAATAAATTGAAGTTAGCATGGAGAAGTACATGTAATAATCTAGAAAAACAGGAAGAAAGAAACTGAGTGGGATTAGGCTACAACGGCACATGGAATTAGGACTTTAAGGGAAAACAGATAAGAAGCATACATATTAATGAGGAAAGAGATATACACTGAAGTGGCCATAAAAGAAGGAAAAGAAAAAATAGTAAATAAACTATCCAAAATTATATAGTAGTAATTCACTGAAAGGATCAACCAACCCCTAAAGCCTTAATAAGCTCTATAAAGTATCACCATGCCATATACCAACAAAGCTAGAAAGATAGCTCAGTGCTGGAGTGTGTGCTTAGCAAGCATGAAGCCATAGGTTCACTCTCCAAAAGGCAGCAGGTCAGCATCCCAGCAAATCTAAGAACATTGAGTATGAAATTCAAGAGCCCAGTATACTCTTGGTAAACATAAATGACTAACACAGCACTGCTGTCATGAGCAATAACTCATTCAATTAAGAAAAAGTTAAAAAAAACAGCTGATTCTTATGGAGGCAAAAACAAGCATTTTATATATTTAGCAAAAAAATCTTCTAAGAATTATATCAAAATAAGTCCCGGTTAATTAATGGGTAGTTAGTTAAGCAGAAATATCAATAATTATCCAGATATTTGTGACCTTTTCAAGTTTCATCCCAAAAGACAATGGGGCCACATAAAAAATAATACAATTGCTTTAGTTGAATTCTCTAATGATTTTTACTTACAGGTGAGAAGATCATCAACTTTAGCTAGGTCATTCTCTTCTACTCCAGGCATCCCTGCATCACCATCGCGTTTGATTTGTTCTGCCCAAGTAACAAAAAGATATAACTTTTATATTGTTTTCTTTTATAAATGAAAATGCTTTGAAGGAAAGTAATAAATTTCTAAAGCAATAAACTACACTGACTGAACATCTTTACATACTATTTTTCACACAGTCCTAACTCCAAAATAGTGTTTCTTTTCTCAAAGGATCCAAGTTCTAACAATACAGACACTAATCATATCTACATCTGAACTAAAATCAAACAATCTCATGACTGAAAATGTTCACTTCGAAATGGGATGAAAAAGTATTTTATTAACAAAAAGCAAAATAATAATATTATTATTACCTTTTCCATGTGGAATATGATTACTTGAGGGTTCTTCATTCTTATCTGCAACATTCTCATCCACTTTTGGAATATTTTTAGGTACTACATGATTGTTTATATCCAATTCTTTTCCATCATTTGATTGAACCTTGGGGGCCTCTTGCTGTTAAGATAAAGATTTTATAACAATAAATATTTTCCAGTTCAAAATGTTAAACCATGGATACAACTATTAATTAAATATTCTGAAACAGTTCATCTTTTAAAACGTATACATGGGCCCAAATTCAGCAATGTGGAACATACTATTTTTTTTGTTCAGTTTTATTGTTGATATAAAATTGAATCATTATCAACAAATATAAAATCAAAACATTATCAACATTTAAAAGCCTATAATTACAGAAAATAGCCTAAGATGGTAAGCAGAGAGAACTCTCTGGCCACACTGAGGGAGTGTCTACTGAGACAGCCTGCAGAGCAGTGTGGGTTGCCTTGGTGGCCTGAAATTGGGCACTATCCAAGGTTCTAGGGACAGAGTGAGTTTTCTGTTGGCATATGCTGGCTTTAGGCAGATAGCAGAATAGGACGAAGTTGGCACACGGATGCCGCTTCAAGTGTGAGAGGTGGCTACTGACACTATCAGGCTTTCCCTAAGCAGGAATAGCAAGAAAGAAAACCCATCAACTCCTCCAGTGCCCTGGCCACCCAAGCACAGCAAGTAAAGGCAAGACAACACATAAGCCAGTGTTGCCTCCAACTTGTTCCTAACCATACCATCTTCTGGGAAGCTTAAGTCTTCAAGTATATGATGAAGCCTAATTAATTTCTGTTGGTGGGCCAGTTTTGAGTTGCCTCAGTGAGAAATTCAGAAAGGAAAGGACTAAAAGAATGTATATGGTAGGGTCATCTAATTAATATTTAATGCACATATACATATTTATAAATGCTAAAGGATTATGCATTGCAATTATTAGTAATGTTATAAAAATAGTACAAAAACGTAGGAAAACAAGAACCAAAATTTTTTTTGGTGTTTTGAGACAGGGTCTCACTACATAGTTCAGGCTGGTTTTGAATTCACTATGCAGTCCAAGCTAGCCCTGAATTCACAGGGTTCCTCCTGTTTCAGCTTCCTGAGCGCTAAGATTATAGATGAGCCACCACACTTGGCTCTGAATCTTTTTTTTTTTTTTCTGTACCAGGGGTTGAACTCAGAACTTTGCATTTGCCAGTCAGGTGCAGTGCCACTGAACTACATCCCCAGCCCCTCAGTTCTGAATCTTATAAATGTATCATAATAAAAAAGAAAGGGTACTCTGACAATCAGATATAGACCTAGGATAGACCTAGGATACCTAGGTATACATATTCTAGCATCTAGGCAGATAAATTCAACAACAAACATTTGGCCAATCTCATAGTTTACAAAGTGCTTTCACATCTATCCTCTGATAGAGATAAATGAACAGTGGGGAGAAACACAAAATAAAAATAAGGCTTTAAAAAATTAGGTAGCTTTTTCTAGGCCATAAAGCTAAAGAATTATTGCCAGAACCCACAGTACTGATTATGCCCAAAGCATGCTGTAAGCAGTGCAGGCTGCAAAGAGTTAGATCCCTCCATGGGCTCTCTATAAGAAGCACGTCTGGCTGAAGCTCCATGACTCACAGAAGCATCTCTGAGCACTGTGGTAGCGCGCAGGTTAATGTGACCTCCCTGCTAATGGCCACAGTGGAGACCAGAGTGATGGCCTGTGCAGCTGTGGGGCTGATAGGAGATAACATCACAGCTGAGGTCGCAGGAATCGCACCCAAATTCCACTCCCACAGTTAGTGCCTTCATAGCTTGAAGGACAATGCTCCAATTACAGCCATACACTTTGTCTCTCTTGCTTCTATCTTGAAAATGCTTTGACTTCCCTTTAAAGCCTCGCCTGCATTGGTTTCCATGATAATTTCACGTACCGCGCATCTATACACATGTTGCACCTTTACCCTGATTGATGAATAATAAAATTAAGTGGAAGAGATGGGCCAGGGCCTTTTGCCAAAAGAGCATTGGTCGTCCCAATTCATACTTTCTCTTTAACTCTGTCTTCAGTTTTTCTCAACGCTGCATCACATGCTGGGCAGGTGGGGACTAGTGACTTACTGCAGGCGTCTCTGGCAAATTGTGGAGGAAAGATTCAAACAGATTCTTTCTGACTCCAAATCCCACATTTATGGCAATTTGGTAAGCTATAACTAATTCTAAGAGTTTTAACATTGGTGAATTAAAGGACAAAATGAAATATTTCAACATATCAATATAAAAGCCAAGGGTGAGAAAAATCCATGAAGCAGCCACCCTATATCTCTGTGTGTATTCACTACTGTGCTGTAGCCAAAGCCATATCTACAGTACTTCACTGTTTTTGTAGATGTGGATTTAAAAAAACTATTGAAAAGTAAAAGTCAAGAAACTGCTGTTCAGAACATTTCCTACTGAAAATAGCTAACAAAGATGCTACCCCTCTAAAATTATTAATGATATTGCCTTTATGTGAATGAATAAGATTGAAATATTGTAAATAAAATGGCTTTCTAAATGCAATTTATGGTGAGGGAGCCTCCTCATTGTTTTTTTAAATAAACTTTTTATTCTGAAATAATTTAAAATTTATAGAAAAGCAACAGATTACATTACTATGGTACATTTACAAAACCAAGAAACCAGTATTAATACATTATTATTAACTAAACTCCACACTTTATATTTCTCTTAGGTCTTTTTTCTGTTCCAAGACCCAATTTGGGCCACTATATTGTTTGCTTGGTTTCCTGATTCTGGGGACTGAACACCAAAACACATCCCCAGCCACATAAAAAAAATTTTTATGTTGAGGCAGGATCTCACTAAGTTGCTAGGTTTCCCAGGCTGGGTTCAAACTTTCAATCCTCTGCCCCAGATCATTAGACATGTGTCATCATGCCCAGCTACTATACTGTATCTAAGTACTCAAGTATTCTTTTCCTCTGCTCTGTAACAGTCTCTCTGCCCAAGGAGCACAAAAATAGTAAGTTAATTTTATTTATGGATACTACAATGTGAATTTCTTATAATATTTTGATATTGTAAAATACATTTTTTGAGTTTTTTCCACTGCTTAAAAATGCTGGACTTGGCCTCTGAACTATAATTTCCTGATCCTTTTCCTAATATAATTTCTAAGATTAAATAGTGCTTTGTTAATTAATTAATAAATTAATAGGCCATACAAATAAATCCCTGAATATAACTTATGCTTGTTTCATATAGTTAATATTGGATTTTTCCCTGTGAAAAATTAACTCAAATTTCCCCAGAATTAACTTGTAATACAAATTGAACAACAGGAAATTAAGGGCAGGGAGTAAAATCAGGCAGCTGGTCTAGAAGGTAAGGAACAGTGTGCTACCCCAGAAAGAAATTCCTTGCAACCTCCAACTCCAATTAGGGCAGGATAAAGGAAAGAAAGAACTGAAGGGTACTCATTAATCCATAATATTAAAATAGCCTAGTACAGAAAAGCAAAAGAGAACTATACCTGCCTGTAAGTACAGGTGTACTTGGTGTTAAGTGTAGGTGTAGGAAAGCCTACATACTAGGCTTGGAATGATACAACTGCAGAGAAAAACTCTTTTCCCTTTTGTATTCTACTGTCCTAATCTTTCAGTGTCTCAGTGCTATCTTCTGGCTTTCCTCAAAGCCACTACTATGGTCATTTACTCAGGCCTGCCTTCTCCCCCCAATCAAACCTCATCTGTCCTTACAGTAGATCACACACAGTCAGGCAGCAACTATTACACTCTGAATTCAAAAACTGAAAAATAAATAATGCTCTCAACATTCTGCCCTAATACTATTCAAAAGCTAAGAACAAAACCTAATGTCTTTAACTTGAAAGTAACATGTTATCAAAGAGCAAAACAAATACTTTTCATTATTAAAACTCTCTTCACCCTAAAGCATAAGACTACATAAAGCTTGCCTAGTCAGATGAGGATACATAACATAAAACAATTATTCATGTCCACAATGGCTAGTGATCTTCAGAAATATTCTATTTCTAAAATCACCTTTGTGACACAGCAACTTAGGACGCACAACTTAACAAAAGAATCTGCCTCGGCTGGGGATTTAGTTCAGCAGTTCCGCTGCCTGTCTCGAATGCACAAGGACCTGAGTTTGAATTCCCAGTACCAAAAAAAAAAAGAAAGAAAGAAAAAGAATCTGCCACTTTAAAAATTATGAATGAGAGATTGGTAGAAATGCAGCATGTACAAGTCCGCGGATTCAATCTCCAGCACAGAAAACAAAACAAAACAACAGAAAAAAGAATCAAAGTTGGTTGCAGTGGATAACGTTTCACTTGTTTTAAGAAAAGAGTATGAGAATTACAGATAATAAAGGAAAGTTCCTCAATTTTTTTCTCTTTCTCAAATATATAAAATAGAAAGTAACTGGTTTTCAGTAAAATGTTATCCACCTAAAAATTTGAGAAGTATATTAACAATACAAGAGGTCATTACTAATTGCTATTGTTATGGTTTGTATCATGATGTCCTCCAATAGCCTCAAGTGCAGCTTTTGGAAGGTGACTGAATTACAGGGCACTAGAGCTAAATATGAGGTCAGGAGGTGAATGGAGGAGTAGGTCACAGGGGTTTGACCTGGGAGGGGACATCTCTCTCCCCACTTCCTCCCTTCTTGTTCAGCTTCCTAGATACCATGATGTGAGCAATTTTCCCCTGTGCCAGGCCCATCCACCATGCTGCTGACCCTGGAAGGATCAAAACTATGAGCCCAAATAAACCTTTCCTCTTTTAATCTGAGGTGTCACTGCCCCAGCAATGAGGAAAATGAGTAAGACAGCTCTGTTCTCCAGGTGGCCTTTGAACTCCTGGACTCGTGATCTTCCTGCCTCAGCCTCCCAAACAGATTTGTCTATAGGCATACACCACTACACCAGGAATTAATTATTTTTAAGAGTCAGATAAAAGATGTTTTCATTCACAATTAGTTTTAAGATTTAAATTTGGTGGGGTATGATAGTGTATCCATGCATGTAAATCCCAGCACTCTAGGAGGCTGAGTCAGGAGGGTGTCAAGTTTGAGAAAAACCTGGACAACTTAGGAAGATCCAGTCTCAAAATTTAAAAACCAAACCTCAAGCGAAACCAAACCAAATAGTGGCTGAGGATGTGATTCAATGTAAAGTCTGTGGGTTCAGTTCCCAGGACCACCAAATTACTTAAAAAAAAAAAAAAAAAAAGCATTAAGATTGTTCTGGGATTGTAGAGGGCTTGCCTAGTATGCACAAGACCCCAGGTTAAATATCTAGCACTTGGGGGAAAAAAGTTAAGGTTTTATTGTTTACAATGCCTGATTTACTTGACAACAAAACCACAGTGAGTTATTTCTTAGACAGGCTAGAATGCTTAAATATGTTTTATGACAGTAGTACAATTTTAATTTCTTTTTTTAAAAAGCAAAACATTTATTGAAATTTTAATTTCTATTTACATGATTTATAACAAAACATATTTTAATTAAGTATATTGTTTTAAATTTACCTTTTGTTCTTGCAAAAACTGATCTGCTAACTTTTTAATATTTTCTTCATGCTGTGCTCTTAATTCCTTGATCTGCTGTCCACACTGAAAACTAAATTACAAAGTCATTCTTTTAGATTATATTGTGTTTGGTTGAATGCTCAAAGTTGTCGACAGGTTGATATAATTGGAAAGACAAAACATTCAGTTAGCAGGGATTGGAGATAAAAATGAGAGGACAAATTCAGTCAAAAATGTTTAAATATTTACCAAAGTTAATAATAGAAATTAGATAAAAACAACTCTTTCTATTACTTTATGAAATGCATCAATAAAAAACAATTGTCAAATAGGCGAGAAATATGCTACAGAAAACTATGAGACCAAGTTATAGTAATAAGTGAGAAAAACTGAGAAGGATCAACAGCTATTCATCTGTAAATACTGGAGTATTTTAAACACTATAATAAAAGTCTGAGCCATAAAATAATGGGAATAGAAGAAACAAATAAGAAAGTATACTATCCTAACAAGAGAAAATGGAATAGAAAGCAAAACTGATGAAAATAATAACCTTCCCCTGTACAAGCAGTCAAAAGATACAAAAGATTTAGTTAATAAGTGGGTAAAAAATGTTGACTTCACCATTATAAAATGCAAATTAAACTTCCTATATGCATATAAGGTAGTACTATAATCCTATAAAGCAAACAAGTTAAAATGATAACCAACATTGGTAGGGTAAAGAGAAACTTCTGTATTAAAATTATTTAAACATTTTAGAAAGCAATCTTTGCTCTAAGAGCAACAACTGGCAAAACACTTTCTCAGAAATCCTACATTTGAGAATACACAAAGTAAAATAATGACAGGGAATCTTTTTCATAAAAAAATTTTAAAGCTGTGATAAATTTACCAGTGAGAAAAAAATATTTCCACTGTGGTCCTGGGAAATTGGGAGAAGCTAAATAAATTTTGGTATATTAATATCTGAAATAATATACTGCCCCTCAATATGTTAAATCTTCAATCCTATAGATCAGTGATGGTGAACCTTTTAGAGACAAGTGCCAAAGTGCAACTCAAAACCCACTATTTATCACAAAGCGCCAACACTGCCATTAAACTGGAGTACCGTGGTTTTAGTTAGAGAAAAACAACTCTACATTAACATCTTTTGTCTTAAAAGAAAACACAGTAACACATGTACCATAGATTCATCACTACTGCTAAAGATATATGGAAAAGTAGTAAACATGGTTCAGTTAAGATACTGAATTGTAAAATACTGAATGCATGAGGAGATGCATATTAATGAGCATGAGCAGTAAGAAGTTAGGAACAGATCCAGAGTCCAGCCATACCATCAGTAAAGTACACCTGGATTCTGGGAGCAGCTGTGTGGACCAGAGTGGTGCAGCTGCAGGCGGATCCCAGCCAGGGCCCTGTCATGACTCCAGAGGCATAAGCACACATGCTCAAGCCGCGGGCCTGCCAAGAAAAGAGATGCACAGGTGTGCAAGGTTCAGTCAGAGATCTGCCATACCACCAGCCACAACAGGGTCCACCTGGAAAAAAACTACACAGACTCACAAGCAACAGCCAGAGACTCTACACAATACCATTGATTAGTACATGGAGACTGTTGCCAAAAGCCTACACAGACAACAGGAACTGGGGGACACAGCCCCCAGCCAAAGGCCCTCCCAGATAACAGCTACAGAAGGGCCCCAGCCAGAGGCACACCTAGATATCATCCCAAGTGTTCACAGGCCCCAGACAGAAGCCTACCCAGATAACAGGTCAGTTCAGGGATCTAGAATGCCCCCATTTTGAACCCAGGGATTAGTGTCCTGGCAAGCAGCAGAGTAAAGGCTGCATGGTGGCTTGCTGAGAATTGAAGAGAACTGGGTGAGCAAAATGTTGACTCAAACAAAGACACAGCAGGCTGCACCTGTTGAAATGAGAAGACACACAAACAAGTCTCAAAATGAGGCTTCCAGAATACCTAAGGAAACTCCAAAGGGCAATGAGATGGAACAGTCTGATACTCAATCAGCTGGACTCCCTGAACTGATAATGAAAGAGGACCTGAAAAAAATGAAATCAGAAATAATTTATCAGATAACAGCAGAGGTTATGCCCATTGTACAAGATAGGATTAATAAATCTAGAGTGGACACAGATAAAAACAATAGAGGAAGTGAGAAACATGATGGAATCCCAACATAGGAGATAAATGGAATCCATAAAACAGATGCAAAAAATTTCCAGGAGATTAAAAACTCCATTGAAAGTTTATACAGCAGAATGAGCCAATGGGAGGACAGAATTTCAGATATAGAAGATAGGATTGCAAGGTGACCAGGAAAAGAAAAATTTCTTTTTTTTTTTCCTGTTTCTATTTTATTATATCCCATACTTACTTTAATTATATTTTTATAAGCATGACAGAATTAACACCAATACATATGTAATATTCTTCCCAAATGACTATGAATTAAATCAAGCATGTAATTTAGAGAAATCATAAGGTTGCCAGAGAAACTATCAATATGCCAAATGCGCACAATCCTACCACATTCATGACCATGTTTCTCATTTAATAGTGCACACATATGTGTAAAAAATACCCCCCCAAATATACACAATGCATATTTTCTACAATACAATATATACTTTGGTATAATAACAGTGTAGTGATGTGTGGAATGTTTGTGATTCGTGTGATTTGAGAAAAAACAAATATCATCTTTGAGGGAGTTGGAGAATTTGTAATATGTACCAAATACTAAATGATATTAATGATTTATTTAAGTATAGTTATGATAAAATTTACTTAAAAATTAATATTCATCAGTAGAAAATAGGTACAAAGATATACTGATAACATAACAAAATTTGTCTTAACAAATTTCCAACTAAACAAGCTGTAGTGACAGAAAAGGAAGTTTGTAGAAAGCAGAGATGAAAGAGGAAAATGACAAGATGGACCTTAATACTTTTCATACTACTCATATATACAGATTTCACAAATTCTCAAATAAAAAAGCAAAAAAAAAAAATGAGAACAAAGGTATCAATTTGGTAGACCAACATATAAAGACAAGGATCAATGTGTTGATAAATTTTAAAAATATGAAATGTAAAGCCTGAGATTTAGCTTCGTAGTGCTGCACCTGCCTAGCCAGAACAATGTGCTGAGTTTAATCCCCAGCATCAGAGTAAAAAGAAAAAAGAAAAAAAGAAAAAAAGCATATGTACTTTCTAATATACTCAATAAATTAAAAATAAATTATTTGTTATCTCCTCTTGAATTGTTCCCTTCACAAGGATGTACTGAACTTCTTTGTCTCTTTCAATCAGTTTAGGTTTGAAACTTTCTTTGTGAATAAGATTGCTACCCCTGCTTTTTTCTGGGCTCCTGTTGCATGAAGAAGTTTTCTGTCCTTTCACTTTCAGTCTATCGGCTTCTTTATGCACTAGATGTGTCTTGTATACAACATATTATTGGATTTTGCTTCTTAATCCATTCTGCCAGTCTATTTCTCTTGATTGGTGAAATGAGGCCATTGATATTGATGGTTCTAACTGATATGTACTAACATTATTATGTTTTTTTCGCCTTCTCTTTTTAGTTTCTTAGCTTGCCTATTTGATTTGCTCTGTTGAGCCTCATTATGTTGTTACCTTCATTGTCTTTTTCTAGGATATTGTTTAGAATTTGTTGTAGTGCTGGTTTGATATTCATAAAGTTTCTCAGGTGTTATCATGGAAATATCTTATTTCCCCATCCATTTTGAAAGAGAGTTTTGCAGGATACATCAGTCTAGGTTGGAGGTTGTTTTCTTAATACTTGAATTGTGATTTGTTTCTTGTCTCTTACTGTTGTAGTATTTTGTTCTTCTGTTGGGTTTCTGGGATCTTGATTATTATATGTTTAGGTATAGATTTTTTTTTTATCACAGCTAGTTGGAGTCCTATATGCCTCACTTATCTGTATGTCAAATTCTTTCCCTCTGTTTGGGAAGTTTTCTATAATTAATTCTGTGAACAGCTTTTTAAAGTCATTTGTATTTTCTCCTACTACTTCTTGAATTCCTATCAGTCTTATTTTATTCTTCTTTGTATCATCTAAGAGTTGTTGGATCAATTTCTCATGATCCCCTACTGTTTTTAAGAGACCTCTCTTTTCACAGTCACTGGCTGCAATTTTTTCTTCTATACCTGAGATTCTATCTTCGGACTCTTTTATTCTGTTGTGAACACTCTCCATGGAGTTTTTAATCTCTTGGATATCTCGTTGAATCTGTCCTATGGATTCCATTTCTTTCTTGTATTGGGCATTTATTGTTTCCAATTCTTTCTTATGCTGGGCATTCATGGCTTCCATCGTGGTCTTGAGCTCATCTATTTTCCTCTCAGTTTCTGTTCTAGAGTCTTGAATTGTAACTTTCATTTTGCTCATCATTTCTATGATTATCTGGGAAATTACTTCTGTTCTATATTTCTCTAGAGCCTGACTGATCAGTTCTGTTACTTCAGGGTGTCCTGATGATTCACTATCAGACTTTTCATCCTCATCTGCCCCTCTGTTTGCCATTGGTGAACTGGAAGTCTGTCCCTGTATCTTGCTTAAGCTTTTTCTCATTTTTACTATTGTTGGGTTGTCCTTAGTTTAACCTTTAGGTTATTACTAAAATCTTCCTGATATAGTTGGGCTGCAACTCTCTAATGACTCACAGACATTCTCATTTTCATAATACCAAAGAAAACAGCTCATTGAATCAATCATAATCCTTTATCCTAATTGATACAATCAGCACCACAATGTAATGAATCACAATTTGCAAACTGACCACTTATGGTAGTCATCAGTCTAGCACCTTCCAACCATGTGAATTAAATTAAAATCAAGAAGCACTCCAAAGCATGCTTACAGTGAATAAACTTTTCAATAAGGATATTTACCATTTAGAATGGAGGCTTAAGACAGAGTTAAGACAAGAGGAGTAGATCAGTAAAATAATTAGAGAAGGTTTCATATGAAGCCAGAAGACGTAGAATGACCAGAAAATAATCAGGAAACTGTTAAATTCAAAAGGAACAAAC